GATTTTATTGGGTAAATGGGTTTCTATAGAGATATTTTATCGATTTCAGAAGCCAAAATGTCGTATATCCACTTTTTTCTTGTCTAAAACATGTTTAAATTAGTAACATTAAGGGTATGTCCATAAATATTCACAAAACAGAAGCATTTTCACAGTAAATCCTAATAATTAGCAAAAATAGGGTATGTGACATGAAAATTATTTTAGTTACGTGAAAAAAGCTTATTTTTACATTGCTATTGAAAACAGTATCTTCAATCTCCATAATATTACCAGGCATTTTGCATCTGGTATAATGATAATTATTAAATTATAATTTATAATGATAGGTACATCAATCCTAAAATTAAATATATATTAAAATATATAGTTACAAGTTATAACTACAACATATTATGTTGGTAACACTATATTTGAGTAATATTTTATAATATTTATATTTGGTGCAGTTTAATACCAGAAATAGAAATACAATATTATTCTGTGATAAGGTACGTAGTTATTCGGTTTTTCTGCTTGTTCGTTTATCGATGGAATTTGTCTAGTTCTTTAAACTCATATTGTTTAAATATAATACAGTGGCGTATATAGGAATTTTTTTTTTTTGGGGGGGGGGGGGGGCGATCAGTTACAAAAAAAAAAAAATAACTGCAAAATAAGTGATTAAAAAAACTATATTTAAAATTTTAAAACAATACATTATTATTTTAATCATATTGTTAATTTTAGTCGTCTAGCTTTTCCACTGTTCGAAAATTTATCTAGTACCATATTTTCAGTAAAATCTACATCTCTATGAATTGATAACAGAGCTAGTCCTACAAGCTGTGATTCAGATGTTGTGTTTCGAAGATAATTTTTCAATCTCCTTAATGTTGAAAAACTTATCTCTGCAGTTGCTGTTGAAACAGGAAGTATTGATAGTATCTTAAAAAGCTCATACACAGGGGCGTACTCAGGAATTTTCAATGGGGGGGGGGGGGGTTGAACATTTTGTTTTTTATCACGGGGATTTTGTCACCTCCTTTTTAAAAATATTAAATATAAACATGGTAATGTACTCTACAGAAAATAAATTTCAAAAATGAAAAATGTTTATTTAAAGAACAAAATTCCGATTCCGATTGATTAACGTGTTCATGTTTTCTTTTAAGATTATTGTAGGGTTCAATGTACTTAGAACTTCCAGGCATACTAGTAAAAAATGTTGTTATTTTATTTTTATTTTTATTTTTTGACTTTAAGCGTTTATGGAAAAAGAATAAATACTTAAATTTTAATACTATCATTAATATTTTTCAAAAGTATATAAAATTACTATACATTTTAATAATTTATCTGTGTGAAATAGTACATGTAATTTTAGTATATACCTAATTTAGAAAAAACAATTAATAATTTTGATTAAGGGGGCCTTGACAGTTTTACATTAAATTTAGGGAGCCTCATGACGAAAAAAATTGAGAAGTACTGTACTAGATTATAGTGTAAAATATCTAAATATAATAAATATAACTAGCTGTCCCAGTAAAAGATCATGTTTTTAATGTTGCATTTCAATTTGAAAACTATACATATACATATTTCACTGTTTATTTTTCTAACATAATTTATATTTATTGAAGAAATATATAAACAAATTTTTTGACAAAGGTTGATTGCTCAATACACAATCAAATATTAATCAAATATATCATAACGCATTATGTAAAAACAAGAATGATATTCACTTACAAAAGAAAAAAATGAGCAAGGTGCTAAAAACAAGAAAACACCAAAAAAACTAAAAAATTTTTCAAAATTAGTTTGAAGTTTATAAGATAACTATAATTGAATAATATTATAATATAAATAATATACCTAATCATAAAATAAAATATGCAAAATATTTTAAACATGTTTTTAGAGTTTTTTATGAGCACTAGAAAATAATACTCCACTCTACCAGACTACTATTACAGTTAGGAGTAGAATCATAATAGTTTTAATTTAATTTAAAGATTTTAAGAAGGATGCAAATATCCAAAGAAGTGACTAAATTATACATCATATTTTTTCTAATTGATGTCTACTCGATAAAAATATTGCCAATGTATAAAATGCAAATGTAATGTATAATTACAGGATCCAAATTTATTATGCCAACTCAATTAAAAAAAAAACTTTTTATGGTTCAATGTTATTGTAAATACTGAGTTCAATTTTAAAAAATATTAGCATTTTAATTCTGAACAAAAACAAGTGTTACACTTAAGTTATGTTTACACGATGATAGTAAAGTTGCTCTCGCGATAGTCGTTATTATTTTAAGAATGATAACAATGTGAATATTCAATATGATAATTGATAATATCGATACTGACAGACATGACGTTATACACGTTTTGTGTCTTTGTGATATTGCTTGAATAGGGAAACAACGTAATACTATGCCGCATTGCCGTATAGTGCCTATGTATTTTATATTATTTTATAAATAATAATTTATGATTTCCTGACATTTCGGGGGGGGGGGGGGGGCTACAGACCCCTCAGCCCCCCCCCCTGGATACGCCACTGATATAATATTATAATCTAACGACAATCCTCAAGTATACATAAAATGAATAGTCGTTCAAGGAAACAGCAAATGACCTATATGAAGAAGGAGACACAGATCAGACACTAACGTAACAGGTTAACCTAAGGAACTTCAAATTGCGGTTCGTTATTGGTCTTCTATACTCTATTCAAAATAAGACCGTGACCGGGCGGCCGAGTTGTGCGCATGGGCGTGGTTTTGAATCGTGGCAGAGCCCGACGCACCGCCGTGGTGGGGACGGCGTTTCACCATATGTCTGACCGCCGCCGGACGAAAACTGGTCACCGCCTGGTCATGGTCTTATTTTGAATAGAGTATAGAAGTAATTGTATTGTTTGTCATCACTTAAAAACATTTTTCATTGGAAAAACAACTGGCGAGGATTTATTTTTTAAAATTAAAGAAGCTTTAACATCATTTGATTTATCTCTTCATAAGCTAATAATGGTAAGGAGTGATGGTCCGAACATTAATAAAAAAATATTGAGATTAATGAACGAAGAGTTGTGGAATATACGAAAAAAGAAATTAATAGATATTGGTTTTTGTAACATTCATTTATTGCACAATGCTTTTTTGAAAGGATTAAAAGTATTTGGAGAAAATGTATCAGATTTAATTGTATTAATGCATAATTTTTTGGTGGCTGGCCATCCAGATTGGAAGATTTTCCAAACTGAAATGAATAATATGCCTAATTTACGCTTTATTAAACATTGCTCATCTGATGGTTAACAATTGAACCTGCTGCTAATAGACTGCTTTTGCTTTGGGATGCTGTTAATCATTATTTTTTAAAATATGTGCCACTTAAAGTTCATTCGCTTTCAAAGTCTCCAAGTTTTATTCGAATTGCTTCATTATTAAAAAAAGATGCTTTGATGTTGAAAGCTGAAATTGAGTTTGTGTTAATGAATTCTAAAATTTTCACTCGTTTTACTGGCAGTTTTCAAAAAACTGAACCATTAATACACATAATGTATTGTAAAATTAAAACATTACTTTTAACGCTTCTTAGTAGAATTTGTAAGCCACTATCATTAACTTCACAAACACCTGTTAAAATTGACATATTAAATGAAGATAATTTATTACCCTTATCTGAAATAGATTTAGGAAGCTCTTTCAAAACAACAACATCATCAATGAAGGATGTAGATCGTTTAAGTCTCATAAAACACTGTCAAAGTCATATTATTGCAAGTTGTAAGTATATAATTGAAAAGGCTCCATTAAGTGACAATCGCAGTATCATCAAGAACTTCAGTTTTTTAAAACCATCTGAAAAGTTATTAACGAGAAGTACTAATGACTTGTTAATTATTGCTAAAGAACTCCCTTTTCAAAATGACTTTGATGTAGATAGACTCACTGATGAATGGAAATTATTTCAGTTACAAGATGAATCAAGTAGTGAACAAAATAGTTTAAGAATAGACGTGTATTGGAATTTAATAATAACTCAAAAATCTGAGAATGGTAACCTTATGTATCCATTGCTTAGTAAAGTTGTTAAAGCTGCTTTATCAGTATCCCTCGGTAATGCTGATGTTGAAAGGGGGTTTTCATGCTCAGCAAATTATCTTACAGGCGATCGTGCAAGCATGTCAGAAAAAACATTGAATGCAGCGCTTGTTGTCAAAGATGCTATTAAAATGTATGATAATCAAGTTACATTAGTACCAATCACTCCTAAATTAATAAGCTTGGCACATAGTGCTTACAATAGATACAAAAATAATTTTGACAAGGAAAAAGATCTAAAAGAACAAAAACTTAAAGAAAAATAACAAGAACAAGAAAAAATACTCTTAGAACAAAAATCAAAAGAACAGATACAGAAAGATAAGGAAAGTATTTTGTCTATTGAAAAAGAACTAAGTAAAAAAAGGAAATTAGAGAACAGTAAATCAAATCTTGCAAAAAAGTTACTGCTAGAAGCAAATCAAAGATTGAAGAAAGGGATAGAAGCAAAAAATTTTTTTGAAATTGAATTAGGTCAAGCAATGCTGGCTGGAGTCTCCAAAATTGAAAAAGAAAGAGACCAAAAAAAAAGGAAGCAGAATAATTGCAAAAAAAATTAACCAAACTTCAAAAAAAACTAGTCAAGTCCAGCACTCCAGCCTTATAGTCTATATATATAGTCTCATCTAGTCAAGTTAAATAAACCTTGTAATGGTGCTAATTAAATTATAACAAGTTTTGTTATTAATACTGTTAATGTTTTATACTTAAACTTATGATTAAAATAAAGGAAGTTCCTAAACAATGATCTTGAATATTATTTTATATTATAAGTATTATTAATTTAAATAGGTAATAATATGATTTAATTATTTGCTATTAAGAGCAGTTAGCTCTCTGAGCGGTTAGCAATTTCTTGCAGATTTTTTCCCCCTTGGAGCCTTCCTTCCAAATCTCAGATTATCCTGGGTATGAAAACCCCTTTGTAAATCGTGCGGGCGGCGGCTTGCCCCAGGCCCCAGTTGGCCAAGTACAGGGAACGAAGCCTTCTATACATATCGCTGAATTTTTCGCTAACTGATTTGACGTGGTCCCAGTAGCTGCGCCTGGGGTCAAGGGTGACACCCAGGTATTTCGCCGTCACTGTGGCCTCGATTCTAGGCGCGTTCGCCCCTGTTCCGAAGCCGACGGTATACCCCTGTTTCAGGCCTCCCTTTAGCGAGAGTAGTTGGCTTTTAGAGGCTGAGAACTCAAGGGAGAAGGTTGAGGCACACTCGGTGAAAGAGTCCAACTGCTTCTCAATGCGTGTGAACGCCCTATGTGGCCTTGCCGCGCCGACCATTAAGATAATGTCATCAGCGTAAGTGATGATCTTAGAGCTCGGACAGAGTCTCTTCTCGTATATCGGAGATATGGCTATCGTCCAGAGCGTGGGACCAAGTTGAGAGCCCTGGGGGCAACCGCGGCACAGCTTCCTATTATACTGGATACCTTCCATCTCAAGACATGCCCATCTATCGGTAAGGTATTAGCTAATGATCCTTACTGTTTTGAGAGAAGCGCCCAGCTTTATTGCTTGGTCAAGTAATGGGGACCATTTGACATGGTCAAATGCGCCCGTGATGTCCAGAAATGTACCAATAATATGTCTGGATATGGACGCATCGATCCAGTCGTAGACATTCTCCAAGGCACTGATCGTCGACTTTCCCGAGGTGAACCCGTGTTGTTCCTCGTTTGAATCTAAATTCGTTTCAACTTCAATGTTTTGGATAATGATGGTTTCCAAGGCCTTGCCCAGGGCGGGCAGCAGACTAATCGGTCGGTACGACTTAGTCTGACTAGTGTCAAGTTTCTCGAGTTTCGGGATAAGAACCAATGCCACGGTTTTCCAGAAATCCGGGAATGTGCCGTTAGCCACACACATGCCAAAGAGCTGTGTGATGGAGTCTTGTAGAGCCGGCCAAGCTTTCCTCAGTATACCAGCTGTAATCCCATCTGCGCCGGGAGCACTGACGGGCTTAATCCTTGATCGTAGCCGAATCGGGCTTATCTGTAATAGCCAAAGGACCCTGAAAGCACAAGCTTTCTTGATCAGGGTCGGGGGGAGGGGAAAAACTTGTCCAGAAAGAGCTCGGCCGTTTCACGGCAGTCTGCAGTCTGAGTCCCATCCGCTTTCGTTATAGTGCTGGGGATTGCCATCCGCTTGCTACCGCTCTTGGCCCAGGAAAAAGCCTTCGACCATGGGTTCGTGTTCAAGTCGCCAGCAAACGTCTTCCAGGCATCCAGCCTTCTGATTTCGGTTAGAAATTAATTTCTTTGCCTGTTGCACTGGAGACGATCATTTTCTCTCATGCCCTGTCACCTAGCTCGGGATAAATTCTTACGTAACGTCGTTAGGGCAGGGGACCACCAGGGGTTTTTCCCCGACGCACCAGCCGTTCTTTTTAGGGCCATTGAGAGGTCAGCTGCCAGTTTATGCACTCTGTCTATGCCTTCGGCCATGGATTCGAAGTCCCTATCGGGGATGGCACCGAGTTCGCTGAGTAGGGCTGAGTTGAACATTTGCCAGTCGGCTGTTTTGGTATTATACCTCGTCGTTGTTGGTGCTTTGGGAAGGGGCTTCGTGATCGCCAGGTTGAAGCTTATGAACCTGTGATCACTATCAGTCAGATCCTTTACCTGCCAACCTCTGACCATGTGTCCAATGTCAGCTGACGTCATCGTGGCGTCGATATTAGAAGTTCTACCGTCTCTGGGGCAAAAGGTGTTCATGTGGCCAGGTAAGTTATCAACAAATTCCTCTACAATTCTGCCCCGGCGGTTTCGGGAGAGCGAGTGCCATTGCTTCGAATGGCCATTGGTGTCCGCCCCGATCAGTGTCCTTTTTTCCATGGCAAGGATCTGATTCAAGCGTTCGACATGTAAAATAGTCGGGACGTTGAATTTAAAATAGGCAGACACTAGAATTAAATGGTCAAGTTTCCTGAGTCCATAAGTTACCCGTATGGCCACTTTGTGGCTTGACGAGTAGTTCTAAAATAGCAGTTGTCGTCCAAATTATTCCAATAAAAAAGGGAGAGTACTGATTTTTTTTGTCTTATGGCATACTTTTACCGCTTCTTTAAATAAAGCTTGTGCTTTTTCCAAGTTGTCGAACACTATTGAATTTTTAGGACTTAAAGGTCTTCTGTTTGAATTTCGGTCATATAAATGTTTGCTGTTTGCCAAATCAAACATATTATTGATGACATTAATAAATTCTGAAGTATGTAGTGCTGTGTTCGATTTTAGTTGCCTAGTAGCCACACATGTTTTTATAGCTGCAGATACAGAATTACTTTAACTACAAAATAATTTGCGAATGTTCGATATTTTGACAAATTTTTGTCAAAACCGAACTTTAAATGTATATAAAAAAAAATTGTGATATTTTTCAACTGCCATTGTTACAGTATATTAGAAGTCTTATATTAAATTTAAAGCTTTTTGACCCAACATATATAATTTTATTGACATCTATAAAAAAAAAAACCGAAAAATTTGGAAACTGAAAATTTCCGTAAACAGCTCAAAACAAATGAAAATATTTTGAAAATTGCATCGAGTATTGCAAATGCTGAAATGCTAATATTATAAACAGTGAAAATTTCATGAATGTATGGTCATTTGTTTTAGAGTTACACCAAAAACCAAAGTTGATTTTGAAAACTTAGTTTCGTTTAAAAATTCCCAGTTTTCCTTGATTATATTTTTGTTTTTCCCGGCGCTTTTGAAAATTTTGACCTTCCCAATGCACCAAATAACTTCACTTTGCCATCAGACAAGATACTGAAGTGGAAAATCGATGCAATATTTCGACTACTTACACTACTTACTACTACTACTTTACACTGTACACAGACACAAATAAAAATTAATATTAAAAAAATTAAACATGCTTTAATGTAAAATAAATACAATTCAACTGCACAACATAAATAAATATATTTAAAATATATAATAATAATATGTATACCTACCTTCGGTAGTATTTTAATTTGATACCTGCCATGTCCAATTTATGGGTGATTTTTCAACAGTCGTATTTGTATCGGGAACATTATCATCTGTTAACTCATCTAACATTTTTTAATTTATATTATTTGTGTCAAAAATAAAATACACAAAAATATTATTTTTTCTTACTTACATACTTGTTTGGTACTGCATTACGGTTTAGTCATGATTTTGGGTCTGTGGGATTAGAATAGGCATTTTTTTCAAAATGAGATGAACATACAAACTTCTTTTTTAACTTTTTAGGACTTAGAGATTCTAGTTTAATATTTCCTAAACTAAAAAATGTTTTTCCATATTATTGCAGATTTTATTTATATTATTGATAAATTATAAATGTTAATAACCTACTTACCAGAATTAATTATCCATATTTTGGACCTTTCTTCGTTTGGTGGACAAGGATGAAATATTATATTTGATGTATTTCTACGTGTATTTGTGCAGTTAAAATATGCACATTTGTCACTAGACATTTAAATTATTTGAGAACAACACAGTAGACAATAAAAATTATAAATGATTTCAAAATAACATAACAAGACACAATTCTATAGTTATTACAAGATACTTAAGTAATAAATATAACAACCAAGTCTTAAAAAAAAATTTTAATGATCAACAGACAACGAGTATCGTTCAATGCGCAAGTTTTCCGCATGTGTACTCAGAATAAATATAATATAATTCCAATATTTTGTACAAGCGTACAAGCACAGATTATAAATAGTAAATAGTTTAATGATACGACTATTTATAGTCAATGGTATAATTTAAAAGAGCTGAAAATACTTCGCATTGAGTGTAACGTGAAGTCTATTGCAGGTATAATAATGATATTTTTATTTATGGAATAATATTTCAATTTACAAAATATATATGATGATTGATGATAATGACTATACTATAATATAGTAAATCTTATGTGTAAATGCGTAATGTATTAATGTGTTTTAATAAAACTTTACATACTAATATACTAATATACATACTATAAACATAAATATGACTATGCAATAACTATAATTATTATTTTAATAATGAGGGACTGATTTAAGGATGAATATTTAACATATTTAATAGTGGGGGGAGGGGGTGTCACCGTTTTACTTACAACTTACATTGAAAAGTGAAGACTATAAACAAACATTAATTTTTACTTTGACGAAGGTAATAATAATACTAATATTTAGTATCAATGGTAATAATCAAAAGTTAAATCATTTTATTTTATTATTTTTTCAAGCAGTTTTAGGTAATGATTTTCATCAAAATTGTTACGTACCTTCAGGAATCCAAAAGCTGATATACTTTTATTATAAACAATAGTCAATTTAAAATAGCAATCAAATGTAGTTTTAATAAAACCAAATAATAAAGCAATATAGTCGTGGTAATTTGTAGTAGCTTGAATTGACTCGTTGTAGCAGTTGATAATCTCCGTGTATAGTTGTGTATAATGACCGTTGGCAAAGCGGCTCGCTCGGTCTTGGCGGCTCTGGGGCCCAATTCTTGAAATCATACGACTAATTCTCGCCTGCGACATGAGTCATACATTTTCTCGTATGCGACATATAATAGGTATTCTTGAACTGAAATCGATAAGATTTTATCACTTGTCGAATGCGACAAAGTAATCGAATGAACCGCTGTGGTAACAACACAAAATCTAGATTTTAACCTCAAATAAATTATAAAATTTGCAAAGAATAAGTTTTATCTTTTATCACTGATTTTAATGTCGATTTCATAAAACACTAAGATACTAAATTTACTTTTAGTAATTTTTTATAAAATTTTAATATCGTTGTATTACAGTATGTATTATACCTAGATACCTATAGTCAATAGTGTCTATACTACCAAGTGTATATTGAGTTCCTTGTATTTATTATTTTAGTAAATTATTATTAAAATTTATTATAATGTCTAAGCAGCATTCAAGGCCCACCCAATCGCAGATGAAATCTTTGGTCGAACTTATGACCAAAGATCCTTTATTGTGTGCCGGTAAATTTACCCAAACCTTCACACAAAATCTGCTAAACAAAAATGGGAAGTTATCGCAGAACAACTTAATGCGTTACCGGGAGCTGAAAAAAGTTGGGACAAATGGAAAAAAGTAAGTTACATGTACCTACATCGTTGAAAACGTTGATTTTCACTTTATTTAGAATATTTTAGATGGTAAATTCGTAAAATGGGCACAAGGAATGAATTTAATTGAAGTTTGACATTACCTACATTAAAACAAATATAAATGTTATTGGCTGTTGATGAATTACGAACATAATTAACTGAATATTATAGGTGTTGTGTTACTATTATTGTAAATTGTTTTTCTCTCTCTCGGTTTGTATAATGCCTAACAGGCAACAGCTATAATATGATGTAGTAAATTGCTAATTTATAATTTAGTAATTAAGCATAGTCAATCTG